CGTCTTTTTCACTTTTTGTAGTAGTGGACATTTAAGATCTGCAATTGACGAGTGAATCTTAACCAAATTATCACAAAGTCGAAATTCCAACACCTCAAGATTCGGCATGCCACTGAAATCTGGGGTTGTGGTCAAGTTTTTAGAGGCTCCTAGGTTCATCTTTTTCAAGTAGGGCAAGTCCTGTACAATTCAGAAACAAAATATATAATTAGCACATTTTTATCTTTTTTTCCATAACAAAATATAAAAAAACTAATTTCTTAAAATAAAATTTTTATTTTATTTTATTTCTAGTTGGGCAAGTCCTATACAATTCGATAATTAGCTCAGATTTATTTTATTTTTTAAAACAAAATATTTATAAATAAATAAACTAATTTCTAGAATGGCATATGGTTCCTACTCTTACCTTTCTTCCATCCCAAAGCCGAACAAGTTTGCTATGAGGCATCTCAAGTGAAATAAGGAAATTCGGTCGAAAGCTTGATGGGAGAAATTTGGAAGGATACTGACTCCATTTGATACTTCTCAAGGAATTAGGAAGAATTCTGGGGCTTGAAGAAATCATCATATTATCAAATTCAAGAAATTTCAGGTTAAGCATCTTAGAGAAGGCTTCACAATTCCAATTTGTCTTTTCAATTGTCGTCGTGCGTAAGCTGATGCCTCTAATTTTTTCCGTTGCCTGTAATTAAGAATAGTAAAAGAAAAGTTCATTCCACATTTAAGTTTAATAATGTATTAAAGAGAAATCATATATCTTCCAAAACTATCTTTATATAACTTCTTATCATATTGTTTATGAATACATCAAAGATATCATTAATTAAGTCTAATACTGTGTTAAAGACAAATCATAAATCTTCCAAAACTTAGTATCTTTTATATAACTTCTTACCGTATTGTTTATGAATACATGAGAGATATCATCATGATTGCACAATCGACTTCGTCTACCAGGCTCATCAGGACACTCTCGACGAACAATTTCCAATGCCATTTCTTGTATCAAATCATGCATCTCAACACGGTGATTTGAAATATCAAAAGTTAAAAGTGATTTCTGAACGAGAGCTTTTATCCCAATATGACCACATAGGCCACAACTGTCTAGTATTTCAATTACTTGGCACTCGTCCTTCCCCTTATGGAAAAATGCAACATCAAGAAATATATCCTTGTTCATCTTATCTAGTCCATCATAACTGATTTTGAGCAAATCAATAATTTCTGACTTAGGAATTTTCCGCAGCTTATCCAATTCACTTTTCCATTCATCTTCATCTCTCTCATACACTAAGCATCCCAAAAGTTTAAGAGCTAGCTAGTGGAAGGCCTCTGGCATAATTTACAAAACCCTTGGACAATTCCAAGAAACCTTCCTCAGGCTCATTTTTTTTAAAGGCATTCCGACTAAAGAGCTCAAGAGCATCATCATCACCTAACGCCTCTACCTCATATTGTATATGTATATCATCATGTTGATCTAGCAACCGTCTATCTCTAGTTGTAATAATGATTATACTCCCCTTACCAAACCAATCCTTTTCACCAGCCAACTTTTCAAGTTGGCTTGATTCACTCACATCATCAAGAATGAGAAGAACCTTTTTATTATACAAGCAATTCTTAATGACAGAGGTTCCCCAGTGTTCATCCCAAACTTGAGTAATTTGATCCTTTAAGATTGGGAAAAGAAGTTGCCTTTGTAGATCAACAAGACAACCATGTTTAGAAACCTCTCTAACATTAGCAAGAAAGCTGCTAGATTCAAAATGGGTAGAAATGCTATCATATACTAGCTTAGCAATGGTTGTTTTGCCAATTCCGCCCAT